CAAGTGTGCAGGCCCCAAGCTCTACCTGAGCTTCCCAGCCCCACCACAACAGAGGCAAGGTGCATGTTGGGGTCTGGAACTTAGCCAACAGCCCAGGACTGAGACCCAGGGCCCAGCTTCTGGCCTGGAGCGTGGGGTCTGCTCACAGCCTACCGGTTGCCCCCACAAGCTAGTTCTGTCCCCGCCAGATTAGTAAGAACCTCCAGTCCTCAGAGGCGGGGTACGGAAGAGGGGTCCCTGCTGCCCTGCCCCTCATCAGCCCTTCTCTCAGGCCCAGAACTTACACTGGGGTCACCAACTTAAGGTTCCAGCATGCACCGTTCTCACCTACCCACACCCACCGCTCACACAGCAACGTGCGCCCACCTGCCCAAGCTGCCAGCCCCCATGGTTGGTTGTTCCTCCTCGCCCCAGTCTAACAGGGTCCCTGCGGTCAGGGAACAAGAGAGAGACCAGGCCCCTGAAACTGGGCTCCTGCCCCCAGAGAAAGCCGCCACTCACTGAAGGTCGGGTCTGCTTCCTTGAGCTTTGAAAAGCATCCCTCCAGGCCACCAAGACTCTTGTCATTGGTCCACGTGACGTACTGGAAAAAAAATGGCAGAGCACAGCTGTCCTCAGGGAGGCCTTCATTTATGTTCAAGCGACAAACCCAGACCTCACTTTCTCTCCAGAACCTTGTCTTTTCCGGACTTGAACGTAGAGAAAGCGTAAGGCGAGTGACCTCATAGGAAGAGATCGAAAGCACAGAATGTGGAGACTGATTTCAAAGGAATGAAACATCAAACGGAAAGTTCTTCCTGACAGGTAACCCGCTACACAGCGTCAGCATCCTCAGCCCCAAACCCACCCACTGCCATCGAGTCGATGCCAACTCGTAGCCACCCTGGAGGACAGAGGGGAGCTGCCCGCAGTGTTTCAAGGGCTATGAATCTTCACAGACGCAAAGCCCAAACCACGCCCACTGCCTGGAGATTCCAACTCAGCGACCCTAAATGACAGAGTAGAACTGCCCCACAGTGTTTCCTAGGCTGTAAGCTTTATAGAAAATCCTCACAACTGGGCCAATAAGCAACATCACAATAAATGGAAAAAAGACTGAAGTTGTCAAGGATTTTATTTTATTTGGACCCACAATCAACACCCATGGAAGCAGCAGTCAAAAAATCAGATGCCATATTGCACTGGGCAAACATGCTGCAAAAGAACAAAAACAAAAAACATGGCTAACCCAAGCCATGGAGCTCTGGTAGCATAGTGCCGAAGGCACTTGACTGCTAACCAGAAAGCTGGAGTTCAAACCCACCGGCCACTCCTAGGAAGGAAGGCTGGGCAATCTACTTCTGCAGTGATAGGAGACCCAAAGAGGGGTCGCTATGAGACAACAACAACAACCCAAACCATGGTATTTTCAATTACCTCATGTGCATGTGAAAACTGGAGAAGAAGGCAGTATTTGCAAAGGGAACTAGCTCAGGGGGCAGGAATGCCTAAGAAAGAAGGGGACAGGGAACTACAGGGAGGAAGTAGGAAGAGAGCTGTTACACTTTGGGGAATTGAAGTCAACGTTTTGAAAAAAAATGTGTATGAACTGCTGTATGGAAACTCAATTTGCTCTTTAAATTTTCACCAAAATCACAATAAAATTAAAAAAATAAAAGTGGACAGTGAGTAAGGAAGACCAAAGAAGAGTTGATGCCTTTGAACAGTATCGGCAAATACTGAAAACACCATGGACTGCCAGAGCAGAAACAAAGGAGGAAGTGCAGCCGGAACGCTGCCCTGGAGGGAGAACGGCCAGACTTTGTCTCACGCCCTTTGGTCATGTTGTCAGGAGAGACTGGGCCCTGGAGGAGGACTTCATGCTGGGTGAAGCGGAGGGTCGGCAAAAAAGGGGAAGGCCCTCAATGAGATGGACTGACACAGTGGCTGCGCACCGATGGGCTCACGTATAGCAAGGACTGTGAGGCTGGCACAGGACTGGGCTGTGTTTCACGGGGTCACTATGAGTTGGAGGCAACTCCACGGCACCTAACAACAAGCTTTACAGAAACAGACGGCCAGGTCTTTTCTCCTGCAGAGCAGCTGGTGGGTTCGAGCCACTGACCTTACAGTCAGCAGCCCAGCACTTAACCATTGTGCCAACAGGGCTTTGTGTAGCTTGTAACAAACCAAGTGCTCCGTAAAAGTCAAGAGGGGCCACCTCTTCTCTCGGCAGGCATACCTGGGTGAGGGCAGCGTCAAACAGCCTGCAGGCCTCGTTGCTGGTGGTGGAGAGCCGCAGCCCGGCATCCCTCCATGCCTGGATGGGGCAACACGGAGACACACAAAACAGCAGGCCTCATTCCACGTGGCCCTTTCAGACATAAGCATGCGTGGACCCCCACCCACAACCCCTCACCCGCCAGATCTCCAGGTGCCTAGCAGTTGTGCAGGTGTAGGTTTCAGAAGCGCAGATTTCACAGCCACAGTGCAGACCTGAGAGGTGAGCCCTGACCCACCTGCACGAGCTCGGACTCTGCCTGCCCCACCTGTAAAATGGGGCTCATGAGAAGGGAATGGGGTGGCCTTGCGCGTCTGCAGAGGAGGTGGGAGTTACTGGTTGAGATCAGGAGGGCATCTCCCCAGAGCAAGGAAGGGTAAGAGGGGGGAAAAGGGGTGGGCGGATGGCCGGCCTTGCCACACGTCACGCACCTCGAGCACTATCTACCACCCGCCAACAATAAATTCCTCTCATCTCTCCACCTTATCAAACCGACTTAGGCCTTCAAATCTCTCGGTGGAAACGTCTAGAGATTGCCACAACTGTTCGACGTAATGGCCGCCTTTGGCATCCTGCCAGAGGCCCGCGGGACCGGCAGCTGCCGGCTCAGGTCAAGTATTGTCTCCGTGGCTGCGGACAAGTCCCTTCACCCTCACACCTCAATCTTCCTCCTCCGCAAAATGGGCGCAGCCCTGGGTGGGTGACGCAGGAGACTTGAGCCCTCACAAGTGCCGGCCCTCTGCGGGGCCAGGCTGTAGTTACTGTGTGCTCAGCGGCTGGCTTCTCCGGTGGCGCCCACTGACAGGTCCCCCATCCCCTGGTCCCTGCGGTGCGCGTTCCGGGGAGCGCCCGTGCGCCCAGGGCCCAAGCCCGAGCCCCGCCGTGCGCCACCGACCTCCACTCCCCAGCTAGGGCCTCGGCCCGAGCGGCAGATCTGACCCCGCTGCTCGCGGCCTGACCGCGGCGCGCAGGCGCGGGGTGCAGGGACGCGGAGAGCGCGGGGGGCGCGGAGCAGCGGAGCCGAGCGTACCTGGCAGTCCCGCAGCGACGCACGCGCAGCCATCGCGCTGCGGCGGGCTCCCCGGGTCGCGCTAGGGCGCCGCCTCTGGCTTCCCGAGCGGCTGGGCCCGCGGGGCGGGGCGGCCGCGCCCCTGCTCGCTCACTGGCCGGACCCCGCAAACCCGCGCGCTGCCCGCCGTACGCGCGACCGCCCTGAGCCCCGGGCCAGCGCCGCGGCCGGTCCGCCCCGGGGCTGCCTCCCAGGCTCAGCGGGAACCCAGCCGGGCTGCAGGAGCCTGCTATACGTGAACCCCGCCTTGTGGGCGCCCGCCTCCCGGATCAGATAGGGATCCGGGCAAGAGAACCCGGCTGCAGGCCCGGGGGTGTGCGCACGGCTGTGGGCCACACCTGTTGCCCTGCCGGGTATTGGCCGCCCAGTCTGGCTGGGAGGATCCTCCCTGCCTGGGGCCACAGAGTCCCGAGAAAGGCGGGGAGGCCCTGGGACAGCGGCCACTTTTAAGTTCTAGCTACTTCCCCTAGAAGCCACACAGGACAGTTTTGGCCAACATCTCGTGCTCACGGCGTTACGGTGTTATCCCGCCGGTGCCCTGGGTCCCAACCCCTCCGCCTACTCAAAGACTTTGCCGCGGAAATATTTCTGCCCCTCCTGTTCTAATGATTTCACCCTCTTAACTGTTGCTGTGCCATCAGGCACCAACCTTCCCTACCTTCATCTCACCGTACACACACCCACTGTCCTAGAGCACATTCCCACAGCGCCCCTAGAGGACAGAGTGGAACTGCCTGCCCCACAGGGTCTGCAAGGCTGTCAATCTTCACGGAAGCAAAGCCCAAACCACGCCCACTGCCCTTGAGTCGATTCTGACCCACAGCGCCCCTAGAGGATAGAGTGGAACTGCATCATAGGGTTTCCAAGGCTGTCAGTCTTAACCGAAGCCAACTGCCTCACTGGTCTCCCAGCAGCTGGGTAGCGGCTGAATGGTTTTTTTTCTTTAACTTTTTATTGTGATTTGGGTGAATCTGCTTTTATAAAGCAAAATGCGTATGAATCGTTGAATGTAAAAGGAAGCTGCAGCAAAGTCGTTTCACATTCAACGGCTCATGCACGTTTTGTTTTGTGACAGATTACATTCCCCTCAATGTAACAGCTCTTTTCCCGCTTCCTCCCCGTGTTTACCGTTTCCCTGTGTCCTTGCCTGTGTATTCCTGCCTCCCTACCTTTCTCCCTGTGCAAATGCTGCCCTCTGCTCTCCCATGGCTCCCCTAAGGAGAGCAGCTCCCTGGAGCAGGTGTTCAGCTCGTAGGCCTATTGTTGGGCTGAATGTTAAGCCACAGGAGTGGTGCAATTCCAGGCCTGAAGGGTGACTTGTCTGGCCCATAGTCTTGGGGGTTTCACCAGTCTCTGTCAGACCAGTAAGCCTGGTCCTTTTTAAGATTTTTGGTTTTGTTCCACATTTCCCCCCACCACACACACACTCTATCCAGAATCTCCAGTTTTGATCCTTTTCTGAGTGGTAGCCAGGCACTATCCAGTTCTGGTGCTGCTGAATGCTTTAACCACTGCGCCACTAGAGCCTGGTCTACTCTCCCCTGCTTGAATCTAACCTCTCCCCACCCACCCTCCAGGGCTGGAATTGGGGTGTGAGAGTGAGGTGAGTGGGGCAAGTGCAGGGCCCATCTCATCCTTATTTAAAATGCTAATATTTTTGGGGGAGCTCTGGTGGCGTAGTGCCTAAGGCATTTGACTGCTAACCAGAAGGCTGGTGGTTCAAACCCACATAATGGATACTTTTGCATAAATTTTTATTTTAAAAAATACGGCATTAAAATGTTGTCCTACTTAAGATCTAAAACTATAACACTCTTCGAACGAAACATAGGGGCAAATCCTCATGACCTAGAGTTTGGCGAAGGATTTTTAGGCATTACACAAAAAGCACAAGTGACAAAAGAAGTAGATCAATTGGACTCCATGGAAATAAGAAGCCTCCGTGCACGAAGGACATAATGCAGAAAGCACAAAGACAGCCTGTGGATGGGAGGAAGGATCTGCATATCTTATATCACCAGCAACAACATCCAGAAAAAATAGAGAACTCTCACAACTCAACCAAAATAAAAGTCCAATTTTAAAATGGGCAAAAAATTAAAATTTTTTAAGATTGAAGAGACATTTCTCCCAAGAAAATATACAAATGGCTAAGAAACACTTGAAAAGATGTTCAACGTCGTTCATCCCGAGGGAAACGCAAATCAAAACCGGAAGGGGATGCCGGTGCACACCCTCCCGGATGGGCACGATGCAAACGAGACCGGAAACGAAGAGTGGTGACGAGGACATGCAGAACGCGGGAGCCTCCCTTACGCACTGTGGTGGGACTGTGAGATGGTGCGGTGCCCTGGAACACAGGTGGGTCATCAGAAAGTTAAACACAGAGTTAAAGGACGCAGCAACGCCCCTCCTGCGTGTGTACCCAGAAGAATTGAAGGCAGGCCTCGGGGAAAAACCAAACAACAATTTGTACATGAAATGTTCATAGACTCCGCGCAATTGCCAGAAGGTCGGAGGGCAGGGAACCCACACTCCCACAGAGTCCAGCGAGGTGCACTGACACACACAGTGGCTGCCACGCTGGGCACAGCGAGGATTGTGAGGCTGGCGCAGGACCGGGGGTGAGTTCTGTTGTCCATACGGTGGCCGTGAGTCGGACTGACTCCGCAGTACCCAACCACCACCACCACCACCACCACCACCGAGTCGGTTCTGACTCACACAACCCACTGCCGTAGAGTCAATTCCAACTTAGGGTGACTCCCGTTGGGTTTCCAACGCTGTGAATCTTTACGGGAGTAGATTGCCTCAGCTTCCTCCCACGGAGCAGCTGGTGGATTTGAACCACCACCTTCTGGTTAGCAACCACTATCCCACCAGAGCTCCTTCACTCACGTAAGACAGAGGAGAACTGCCCCACAGGGTTCTCAAGGCTAGAAGCTTTTACAGACACAGGCTGCCTCATCTTTCTCCTGTGAAGTGGCTGCTGGGTTTGAACTGCCCACCTTCTGGTTAGCAGCTGAATACTTTAACCACTGTGCCAACAGAACTCCTTCCAAAATGTGGAAACAACCCAGATATCCATCAGCTGATGAACTGATAAATAAAACATGGTCCATCTACACCAAGAAATACCAGTCAGCCATAAAAAGGCATGAGGTCCTGCTACGCGGCACCACGGTGTGAACCTTGAAACACGATGCTGAATGGAAGAAGTCAGGCATGAAATGTCACCTGTGAGTCCACTGCGTGGTCACGTATATATGACTCCGTTGTGTGAATCGTCCCCAGTAGGTGGACCCATAGAGAAAGGAAGCAAATTGGTGAGTGCCAGGCGCCGGGGGGCAGGAAGGGTGGGCGAGGCCTGGGGATGAGTGCTGGGGGGTCCACCATGTCCTTCTGGGGTGATGGCAGTGTCCTGGAAGTCAACACAGGGGGGTGCCTGCACTGTATGAAAGTACCAAACGCCACTGAATTCCTCATTTCAAATGGCTGACTTCACATGACTTGAACTTTACCTCAAAAAAAGCACTACTGGGCTTTTGGGACCCAACTCCTTGAATCCTGTGCCGGAGGGGAGTGCCTTCTGGCCCCAGCCCAGTGTAAGCTGCACCGCTATTCAGAGAACAGTCTGGCAGATGTGGCTGGGAAGGGTGACCATGCCTAGACACCCAGGCCCCCACTTCCGCTCCAGGACGATCAAAACACTCACTGCCGTGAAGTCAGTTCAGATCCAGTGGCCCTGCAGGACAGAGCCGAGCTGCCCTCAGGGCTTCCAAGGCTGTCATCTTTACGGGGAGTGGACTCCTGCTTCCTTCTCCCACAGAGTGGCTGGGGGGTTCAAGCCATCCACCTTTCAGTTTGCAGCCAAGCGCTTAACCACGGCACCACCAGGGCTCCTTCCAGCTGCTCCAGGAGGCCCCAAAAGGCCAAGAAGGAAACCACAGGTGTCAAGGAGGCCTGCCACAGTGGCCAGAGAGGTGGGCCACCCTCACGCGGCCCCTCCGGCGAGGCTTGCCCAGCACCTTCCCGGGACAAGAAAGGATGCAGGCTGAGAGGTGGCAGGGAGAGCGTCTTGGAGACCATCTTCAATGTCATGCATTTGCCCTCCCCTTCCCCTCACCTGTGCAGAGCGCAGGGCCTTCCTGGAGGTCTGACCTGTGCCCTGGAGGGCCCTGAGGCTGGTGTAGGCTGGTGGCAGAGGCTGCGAGAGAGGGGCAGGTAGACAGGGCTGCGTGGGAACAGCCACACTCCACCACACTCTACATGTGGAGGACCTCTGGCCTAGGGGTAGCTTTGCTGGGGGAGGAGGGGAAGAGAGTAGCCTTTCTCTGATAGGTCACCTGGAGGTACACCTGTATTGTTGTTAGGTACCAGCCTGAATCATGGTGCACAGGGTCAGCGAGAAAGAGGAAGACCCCCAACAAGATGGACAGATCAGTGGCTGTGACAATGGGCTCAGGCAGAGCCACAACTGTGAGGCTGACGAAGGACCAGGCAAGGCTTCATTCTGTTGTTGCAGGGTCGCCATGAGTCGCACCTGATTGGACAGCACCTAATGACCGACGACAGCTCAGAGTAACCCCTTGGACAATACAACCCAACACTGCCTGCTCCTGCACCACCCTCACAACCGATGCTTAGTTTGGGGTACACTGAAAAAATGAAAACCTGGGCAGAAGAACGTAGGGGCAGACTGCCTACATGAGGGACCCCGGCTGAGACGGTCAGGGAGGAAGAGTCGCCTTCAGCACCCACCGCAGCCAGGAGACGGCGACACCACAGGTGCTGGCCAGGTGAAACCGTTCCTGCCCATTATCCTCTGCATCTTCACTTCAACCCTGGGGCGGGGGATGGGGCTCAGAGGTGGCCTGGGGAAAGGGGCAAAGGCTAGAGCTGGGGGAGGGGAAGAGTTTAATGCTATTGTTATTGTTACATGCCATCGAGTCAATGCCAACTTACAGCGATCCCATGTTCAACAGAACAAAACC